CTCTGGCAGCGCGCGCCTGCTGCCGCTCCAACTTGTCGTCATTGGATCCCAAGAAGAAGGAGGGACTCGCCAGAGGCTGGATTCGAGTTGGCGTCGAAGCGAGCCTTTGCTTAGGGTTTGGAGTCAAGGGTTCAGCCATGGATTCAGCAAAAGCAGAAGTTCATAAGCAGTGGAAAGAAGAAGAAAACGGTTGAAGAGGAATTGGAGAAGAATGAAGATTCGCGTCAGTTGGGTTCGCCTGGAATCGGCAGGTCTGGATTTTGGGGATTAGGGATTTCAATTTTCCCTCCACTTTCTATGCTTTGAATTTCAATCAGAAGGTTGAATGGTTTTCGCTCGGTAGGAAGTACACGGCCCACAGAGAGTCATGGGCCGCGTACAGTGTGAGTGACGTGGCAATATCATTCCTTCCTTCCACATCATCACCTTTTTTTTTTCCAAAGAAATGGTTTAAATAAGATTACAGGTGTTATGGAAAAAATCTAAAGATAACAAAGTTCCAGACAATAACTGACTTAGAAAATCCAACATGTGAGCAAGAAACAGACAACACTGTCCTGCCCTGATAGTTTCAGTCCAACATAGACAAAAAAAATTGACTGCCAGTTTCACATACTAGGAGGAGGAGGTGGGGGAGGGCGAGCACCCTGGCCCGGGAAATACCCGAAACCCCCCGACGGTGGTGGAGGCGGCGGCTGCATTGCTCTAGGGCCGTTAGCCATTGGTGGTGGTGGTGGTGGTGCACGAGGAAGGTTTGGCATCGGTGCACCAGTTGGCGGAGGAGGTGGTGGGGCCTGCGGTGGCGGTGGTGGAGGTGGCAGCAGCCCATTGGCTGCAGCCGTGGACTGGGGCTTGTTTGCCTCCGGTGGCTTCGGTTTGAAATAAACCTGCAACTGTTTTAGAGGTGTTTCAAATCACTGGTCAGAATACCGGATGTTTCGATACCCAAAAAAAGAAAGATAAAAAGAAAAAGAAAAACTGCTACTTAAACTGTAAATCTCAGGAGAAGTGCTTACTGTGAACATCTTTGAGTCTGGGTCCCAATGCGAGAAGAACTTGGGGGTTGATTTATCTATCTCAGTGCTAGGAACCTGAAATGTAAATAGAACACAACTATGGATTTACATATGAACAAAAAAACGGTACACAAGCTCACAGAGGTCAAGAAGGGAATGAAAATGGATATGAGAAACCAAAACTTGTATAATGAACGTCTCAATAAGATAGATAGATGGATGAAATTAAGCAAGCAAAGTGAGGGGAAATACCTTGAAGGCTATAGTGTCATATGGTTCGGCCGCAAACAAAAGATACTGATATCTCTTATCATATGGTTGAATTTTCTGCACTCATAGAAGTTCAAGCGAACACAAGAGTGTCTCAGCAGGAACGTATCAGAAAAGATATCAATAATTACAGATCAAGAAACAGCTCATAAATTCTAACCTGCTCATAAGATGACATAACACGATGTCTTGGTTTTTTGTTGTCCACTATCTCCGGATATTCAATCTGTAAAAAAGGGTAGAGCCGAAAACGACCAGAGACGTAAGAAATTCAATTTACAATAAATAATGAGAAGATGTATGTGTATGATTCGACAGCTACAGCCACATGAGTACCTGGAACAGAAGTGATCTCTGCTTCATCTCAGGATCATACTGCTTCGTAACCCGATACCCAGGTCTACCAATCTTAACTGCAATAACATACAATGGTAGGGATTTCTCAGCAGAGTCTAAAACAATGATATTACACAAACTCAAGAGGTGGAAATGCCTAACAAATGCCCAAAGACAGTTCCAAATCGCAACTCTACCAATCTTACATCAAGGATACCTACAACTTCCACATTGAGTTTAACTCCTTAACCAGCAATTGTCCCATCCCTACACTTACTATGAGAAAATTCCCGCCATTTGTTCTCCAGAAATGAAAAGTGTGAATGCCAACAATGCCATAAACCGCAAGAAAAATACTATACCTGTTTTAAGAACATTGACTTTGCGCTTGTGAGGCTGTGGCTGGGTCGGAGCGTCCTTGGCCTCTCGGGCGGCTCTCTTTGCCAAATTGGTCTGATGCCTCTTCCCCTGAGTGTGTGCCAAATAGTTCCCTTCGTTGTTATGCAGCGTTAGACATAGCTTACATTCATAGCTTCAGGACATCAAACACAAAACATAAATGGTATCAGTGACACAACAAAAACCCTAATTGAAGAAACGCCAATCAAAACACATACAGACGCAGATAAGCACACATACACGCCTACAGACTACATACATATACGTATACAGTGTAGATTAGATTACCTAAACCAGATAACCGTAAATCAAGACGACGGAATTTTCATTCCCCTAAGCAATCCAACATCTGAATCTACAAGCAAGTCTTTGCGTGGAGAGTCATACATAGGTCGTTATATAAACATACCTTCCGAGATGATTTCGCATGAAATAGGGGTCCTTAGCAAGGTCGATGGTCTCAAGCGCCAGACGACGGAGACGCTCACGTCGGTCGATGGCCTCGTTCTGGGCGGAGGCGGCGCCTCCGCTTCCAGGCTTTGAGCCCCACTCTCTATCCATCGCTAAGACTACTACCTCTGGCTTTCACGCTCCCAGATCCTTCCCAGTCTCGCTCTCTCTCTAGATGATGACTGACCGAAGGTCTGACAATGGCGGAGATTTGAGAAGCCGAAGAACGATAGGGCGGTTTAGGATCGTGCGGAAGAAAATGAGTAAGATCAAAAACCCAATGAATGAGCCCATAGGCCCATATTAGTGTCTTCACAAATCGGCCCATGTTGTCTTGTCCACCAAAACGATGCCGTTTACATTCGTTTTCTTCTCTTGCTCGCCCTTCACCTTTTGAAGTACGAGCTGCTTCCATTAGAAAAAAAAAACAGTTCTTCTACCAGAGATTTTTTTCCCCCTTCTCGTATGAGATTATTCGCAAAAGACAGGAAGAATGTCTACTTCCAAACTCCCGCGATTGTTCATGAACCTGAGGCAGAAACAGCGATCTCCTGGTCGGATATCCGACATCGAATCAGCAAAAAATATCATAGCATCGTTACAGAAATCCGGCATCGGATCGCTTCAATCGAATCCGTCACTTCTTCTTAATTTAAATTCCGATGTCTCCCGCCTCGTCCTCTCAAATCCCAGTCTTCCTGCTTTATCCTGCATCGATTTCTTCAATTTTCTCCAGAGGTACGAATTCTCCTATAAACCAGACCTCACGGCGGTGGTGGCTTTAGCTTACAGGCTGTATTCGGACCAGAGATTCCGAGAGATGAAATCGCTATTGAATTTAATTGCTACCGATGCGTTTTATTTGTGCCCGGTGGAGAAGTTGAGCTCGGCGATGGCGGATTGCGGCGTTTCTGAAGAAAAGCTTGGGTTTCTGGTGAAGTTCTTCGATTTGATGTTCAGGGTTTATGTGGATAATGGGATGTTCGACGAGAGTTTAGGGGTTTTCAGTTACATGGTGGCGAATGGATTGAGCATCGATGAGAGGTCCTGCATTGTGTTTCTCGTAGCAGCGAAGAAAGGCGGGAAAATCGACCTTTGTTTGGACTTTTTCAGCCGAATGGTGGATTCTGGTGTGAAGATTACTGTTTATTCACTGACAATTGTGGTTGAAGGCTTATGCAGAAGGGGAGAAGTGGAAAAGAGCAGACAACTGATAAGTGATATCACCAGCAAAGGAGTTAAACCGAATGTGATAACCTACAACACCATTATCAATGCTTATGCTAAAAGGGGAGATTTCTCAGGTGTAGAAGAGATTCTGAAGGTGATGGAGAAGGAAGGAGTGTCCTATAACGCGGCAACGTTTACACTGTTGATGGGCTGCCGTGGTAAGAACGGAAAGATGGCCGATGCAGAGAAACTGTTTGATGAAATGCGTGAAAGAGGAATAGAGCCTGATGTTCATGTGTACACCTTTCTAATAAGCTGGAACTGCAGAAAGGGAAACATCAAAAGGGCATTTCTGTTTTTCGATGAACTGATAGAGAAGGGTCTTACCCCGAGTAGTCACACTTATGGTGCACTGATCGACGGAGTATGCAAGGTCGGGGAAATGGATGCAGCGGATATACTGGTAAACGACATGCAAAGCCGGGGGATTAGCATCAATCAGGTGGTTTTCAATACGTTAATTGACGGGTACTGCAGGAAAGGGAGGATCGAGGATGCATTGTGGATGTATGATGTGATGGAGAAGAAAGGGTTTCAAGCTGATGTTTTTACACATAATATGATCGCTAGTTGTTTTAATAGATTGAAACAGCCCGATGAGGCGAAGAAGTGGCTGTTTAGGGTGTCGGAGAAAGGTGTGATGAAGCTTAACGTGGTTAATTACACTACCTTGATCGATATTTGTTGCAAAGAAGGGAACTTCGAAGAGGCGAACAGGCTTTTCGGGGATATGGACCGCCAAGGGGAACAACCTAATGTTGTTACATACAATGTGATGATCGATGGATATTGCAAGCAGGGGAAAGTAAAGGAAGCCCGAAAACTGAGAGCTGAGATGGAAACGAAAGGGATGTATCCAGATTTGTATACATACACGTCACTCATACATGGGGAATGCATTTCGGGAAATGTGGATGAGGCAATGAGGCTTTTCGATGAAATGGATTCGAAGGGTTTGGACTGCAGTGTCGTTACATACACTGTGATGATCTCGGGTCTGTCAAAGGCTGGAAAATCAGATGAAGCCTTTGGATTGTACGATGAGATGAAGAGGAAAGGTTACATCATAGACGATAGGGTTTACACTTCACTCGTCGGAAGTTTGCATACCCCTGGGACTGAAGATCCTCCTGCGAGGGTAAACTGTAAAAAATCAGATTGTTGATGAAAATCTCGGTTTGAAGATTCAAAAGCCAGAGATTTGAATCAGAATGTTTACGCCGGTGAAGGGTTCGAGTCAGAAACATTGCCTTTGGGAAACGATTAATTTGTTGTGAACGTCGGAAACTAAACAGTGTCTGCAATAAAGGTCCAAACTTTATCCAAATTAGGGCTTTTTAGTCTTATTTACGCAGTTGGGTCTTTCAAGTTTTTGTTTTTTTTACAAGGATTTGTTGATTCATGGGGTCCATTTATTGCAGATGGGAGTTGCCGGATCCAGAGAATTTGGTTAAGGCGCCAACACGAAGTGAAATGAGGAGACACAGAGAATGGATGTAACACCATCAAGAAATATTCTCTGAATATCATCAAGTAAATCACGCAAAAGAGGCCTCTTCTCCACTTGCATCCTTTGGAATATCAATCTCTCTACAATCACTATGGCTGCCATGAAAGGAGAAGATGAGTGAAGGTAATGTCAAAACATCTGGGTTCCATGATCCGGAAAGAATTGGTAAAATCTCTGTTATTCCTAGTTCCAGCAAAAAAGAAACAGTCAAATATAAAGTATCCTCAGATTTTAATCTGAGCCCATTGGGCCTTTGATCCGGTCTTAAATCAATTTTTAACGACATGCAATTAACAATTACTAGTTCAATACACAGTAAAATAATATTAACTATGCATATAAATTCACTGAAATTACTCTAGTATGGGGTTTTTTCCTCTTTTTCGTAAAAAATTAAATTAACGAAGTACGAGAAAATAATTAATTTTCTGGTTAAAAACCAAAAGCTTTGCGACATGTCCAACGAACATTTAAATGGGCCACAACAAGGCCCATTAAGTAGAAAATTTGTGATTAGTTTTTTTTTCCTTGTATATGAGTAGGGAGGGTGGTGAATGAGAATGATTAAAATCGGACTGCTTTCAGGGAAAAAAAAAGAAACGGAGAGCTTAAATTCAAAAAAAAAAAATCTGAGTTTCGTGACTTTCGTCTTCTTCTCCACCAATTGGGTATCGAATTTTGTTTCGGAAGCTTTGTGGAAATGTCGATGGGAAGCGACACGACGTGGGTGGGGAAGAAGCCGATTAGGCGCATCGGCGGAATGTCGGATGCTCTATCCATCGCCTCCGATCTCGGCTTCACCGTCGCTCCTCCGCCGTCTCAGGTTCTTCCGCTACTTTATATTTGTTTTCAGTGTCGGGAATTCTCGTCTCCAAACTAGTTTGGTCTGGTGCGTGGCGAAGGTTTATCCCTAGATCGTGCTGTCGGATTGCTTCCACAGTATAAAAGGAATGTAGCATATGTAATTCGAAGTAGTTTATGATTCTGTTCATCAGTGGGGTTCTTCAAAAAACGTGGGAAGTTAGTAGGTCTTGCATTGATTATAGTGATATGGTTGAGATTTTTGGCCGAGTAGATCTTGCAACAATGAAACTATTCAATATGTCTGAATACTCTTAAGGGCTGGTGATGTGAATCTGTTTATGTCTCGGAGATTTCGAATTCCACAGAATTTCTGGGAAGGTTTTGTACTTTCTTCTGAGAATATGCAAATTTCGTGAATCTGCTTCAGTAGTGCATGGAAATCTTTTTTCACGTAGTTACCTCTTTTCTTTTCTCTAAGCTTTGATTGAGACCACACACACAGCACACTTAACACTTGACTTTGCAAACCACTTAACAGTAAAGTACCTTGAAGTTAGCTGGCCCTCTTTGTTCTGTCTGTAGGAAGAACTACAAGAGTTGACATCTTCAACTGGTGAGAAAGGTGATGATTTAATAAGGGTCCTGCGCGAGTTGTCTGCTGTTCAAAGAAAAATTGCAGACTTGCAGGTCGAGCTTCAAGGGCGAAAGGTATCTTTCACGGGATTGTTTCTCTGTCAAAGGATACGAGAAATGTTTCACAAAGCTGCTTTATTCGCAAGCGTGATGCACTTATGGTCTCTATAAATAATGGTTTTGTCAAAAAAAAATTTGCTAAATGCTGTACAATCAATTTAGGACGATAAAAATGTTGCACATCTGACACATGTGAGTGAAATGCAAAAGAAAATCGAGACTCTGGAAAGGATCACTCAAATATTGAAAGATGTCATACAGAACAAGGTAAATCATTCTTCTTTTTCACTTATCTGTAAAATCTAGCTTCCATGTCATATTCTTGCATTGTCCACTCTTTTCACATGGCAAGTTTTTATGCAGTACTACAGTGTACAAGTAGGTTGTAAATTGATTTCTATGCATGTTGGCAAAACCATGCTATTCCCCTTCCTCATTTTTAGTAGCTTGTCTATAATGAGAATGTAGTTCCTCACTCCAGAAAAGTATTTTTCCTTTACTGAGAATGAACCGGTTGTTTAAGTTTCGGGTGCCATTTGTTTATTTACTGGGCAGGACCGCATCATTGCCCGTCTCCAACAGCCTTACTCACTAGATTGCATCCCTGTCGAAGCTGAATACCAGGTACGTCGTGTGAAAGTATTCTACTATTTGAGGGGATATGCATCTGCATTTGCTTAAACTGGAAGAAGAAATAAGGCAAGAGACACAAAATCCCCTTTTTTGTTTAACTTGCCTGATGGCCGTTTCTGCATTGTCATCCAGAAACAATTTTCCGAGTTGCTAATGAAGGCAGCTAGTGATTATGGTGCCTTGACAGCGTCAGTGTCAGATTTCCAGTGGAGTCAAAACTTTAAGGAGCCTCCTTCAGTCTGGGGGGTATGCTCATATGTGTTCCATGATTCCCATCTTTCTAACAGAATCTCTCTCGGCTCATATCTATTATTCGATCTCATTTCTTTGCTGCGATTTTGAATGTTTGTTATTTAACAAAGGAAATGCTGCGTCCAATCCCTGTCGCTCTGTCATCATGCACGAGATTCTTCGAGGCAATGTCGGCCATGAGAGAGTCATTCGCAACCCTTCAGAACCTCCGAGCTGGGAAAAAAGAGTAGTGCCTAAACAGGTAAGTCACTTCAAATCCTACTGTATAAGAATAACGTCCTCAAATTTCTTGTACCAGTTTCTGTGTGTTGTGTTCTCTCGCTGTCTAGTTTGAGGAGAATAAAACCGCCATAGAATCCACTTGCGCCAGCTCTTGTGTACATACATCCTATAGAAATGAGTTGGGGGTTCATGTTATGTTTTAGCGAGTGAGCATTGAGATTTGATGATTTCTGTTATATGATCAAATTTCAATTTGGTTAATAACCGAATAATTGAACCGATCTGGACAGCGTTCAAGTCACGTGACCGTAACCGGCCGATTTCAATGTAAAAACCAAATGAAAATGATTGAAAAAACCGAACTGAATTAGAACCAAATTAAATCAAACGGGCAAGAAGTGAACATGTGGTGTATATATATAATCAGTCACAGGGAAGAACTTTCGTCCAGAGAGTAAACGGACGAGCCCGGAGGTTGAAATGCAGGCTCATACCGAACCATCAACGTACGGGTGAGTCTGAATATGGATCGGTTTTCTTTCGAACGAAACCTTTTGGGCATCAGATTATAGTCATCCAACATTGAAACAATTGTAAGATTCAATCGAATTGTGTGTGTGTGTGTGTGTGTGTGTGTGTGATTGGATAAATCGCTAGCAGAAAAAGAAGGCAGAGGATCACTACCGTACCGTTCGTAGGCCCGAAGAATTGGACGAATCAAATATAGCCACGTGTACACAGAATGAATATGTACATAAATAACTTACGCTACGTAGAACGTGTACGTACGAGTACGGCAATTGCCCAACACCAATTCCCAAAAGACATTATTGGCCATTCGAATGGACGGTCATAATACACAGAAGGAAAAAAAACAGAAAACCACCGCCACCACCACCACCCGGATACATATTTTCCGGTGGCCCATGTCACCGACTCGACTCCTATGTATACGTATCGCTGCTGTATCTAAAGTGCTTACGCTTACCATAAACGAAATCGGATTCTTAAATCACGACCCTTTTTCTTTATTTGTTTGGAGCGAGGGAGGAAAACGATTACCCTCGACGCAAGAAACGCAGGACAGGAAACTCATGAATCTCTCTCCTAATCTTCTTTCTTCAACCAATGGGATGGGATGGGGTTGTACCTAATAAAACCTACCTCCTGGAGCAAGAAAAAGACATGGGGAAATGCTTCAAGCCTGAAACGTCGAATAACTCCATGAACCTTTGATCTGAAACCCTAGCTTTGGCCGCTGCAAATCTCTGATACTCGTCGAATATCGACGTCAAGCACCATTTCTGCAGTTTTCTCATGCACCCTACAAGGCACCCCGTCCTGTGCTGCAACCACATTAACCATCCCTTCCTTTATCTATATTCCTCCCCTTTATTCATTCGATATCTGACCTGAATCCTAAAAGAGAAGGGAAATCATGCATAGGAGAGAAGCCGGAATTTACACACACCTTGCCTCGTTTGCAATGAATCAAAACCGGCTGGTTTTTCTCATCTGAGACAAGAAACGAGTTACGAACGAATATGAACATAAATTAGCTTCTTTGCCAGTGTAGGGAGTGTATGATTCATACCTAGAAGTACTTCCAGCGCTTCCCGGATTCTATCGTCTGGAATATTTACAAAAGGTTCCTGAAAACAAGAAAAAAGTACAGATGATGTACATTAGTTTTTACGATTTAATGCCAAAATATCACCACAAGTATTAACAAAAGTAATGTCTCCGGTTACTCTCCAGTCTAGCAAGTAAGAAAACGTGGTGTTTTCCTGTTTCAGAGTTCTGTCTTCTGCTTTTGCAGAGAGAGACTTAAGCACCAGAGAATATCAGAGCTATACTCAAACATGTTACATAAACATATTACGTATGACATGTTTCCTGTCTGCGAAAAAGATTCGTTTTTCCTACGTGAAGGGTTCTATCTACGAGCGGATACAGAAATAAACACAAAATGGAAGAGGTCTGTAGAGAGCAATCGATGACGGACAAAAGACATCGACGAAAACTATTGCTACCAAGAAACAACAAAACGAATCTAAGCAAATAAGGAGATGAAAACGAAATCAGAGAGATCCAACAGACAAAATGTAAATGTAAGAATATCCAAAGCCACCTTCAAACGGAAGCAGGATAGCAACGGCGGACAACTCATCAACGCAAGAATACATAATTTTAACCTCTCTTTTCAGTTATTCAATATTCTATATCAACTCAAACTTTATCCTTCGCAAGCTCAACCAGCCATTTGGTAACCTAAGTTCTTACGGATGAGCTTGACATCTAAAACGTTTGGATTAGAAACTTCCATATCAGAACTCTACGCTCAAGCTTTTTCGGTTATTACATCCTCTAGCAACCTTTGCCCGAAACGAAAAGCCATATCAAACATGGACCACTAAAACATTGTAAAAGAAGGCAACACAAGATATTAAACAACAGTAATCGGGGAGTCAGAATACCTAACAACAACTAGTGGACCCTTTTGTCTGAATTCACTGTCTGCAATTTATAAAACTGAAAAACCAAAAAGAGTTTACTATAAACAACTAATGCAGTATCACGAAATGCTTTTCCAAATGTAAGATTACGCAAGGGATATAAATAGGACAAAAAAACATGAGATAGAAGATATCGTGGATGTGCCAAACGAGACACGCAACGAACATCAACCAAGAAAACAATAAGAAGAGGACACAAGGAAAGGGGGAAGCTTTCCAATAGTGGATATCTGACAAAACTTGAAGCAATACACTCAGCGCTTGTTTGACCTAGCCCCCATTATGCAATTATCAATACACGAAAAATGACCAGATGGTATTAGTTGACGAAGAGACAAAGCTGCGGGACCATGAGAAAGAGTAAACGGAGACCAATATGGGTAGAGCAAATTACCTTGATGGATACATATATTGGACCCAAGATCAAATTCAAGATAAACATCCAAACGAGAAATGGTGTGATAAGAACCAAAATGAAATCAAGACAAAACCAGCTAACGGATGAGTTGCAGGAAGTAAACACCAAATTAGTGAGACAGGTTATGAGAACAAATAGGCAAACATCAAGCAGTTCAAACATATATATATATATATATATATATATATATATATATTATATCACAAATCCGCAAATTCCTCAATTTGTTAACACCAAAGTTCTCGAAATTCCATTTGTAAATGGACCCTTTTTCTCAAGCTTAGAACTCCAAATACATGCAACCAAATTTGAGGATTTAAAATAATCCGAGGAACATGATCTCCAAATCTGAGAATTTAGGTTGGGAATTCACGTTTGAACATCCCCTCCAACAAATCCGATCCGCAAAAAAGAATTACAGAACGACCAATCGCCGGAATCTTAAAATTCTTAAAACGGAGACTTAGAAAAACAGCGAGAAACAACGAACACTCACCTTGTTGCCTTCAATGCCAAACTGAAAAAGCCTAATTCCATTGGATTTGAGGAACTCCATGTTGCCCTCCGGGTATGGCTCCGGACACAAATATCTTCACACAAACGAATACCCAAAAGAAAGGGGAAAAAACCTAAAAATCAGCAACCTAGACGCTTTTACACTTAAATTTATTCGAGTGCCCACTAAATTGATCGAAATTTCGGGGAATCTTACATGACGGAGCGAAGGCCGAGAGTCTGAAGGAAGGAGAAGTTGGCAGAGTCGGGAAACCCAGACCTGAAAATGCCATTGTCGACCATGGCAAAGTTCAAGGGCGGTATCAGGTTAAGTTCCTCTCCGGAAACAACCAGGATGGCCGCCGCCCGGCACAATTCAGTCCGGTCAACCACCGCAACCTCGATCGTACGGCAGGCCTCTTCATCGCTCTCCTCTTCGCTCACAGTCCGGAGCTTGTCCATCGTCTTCTCCACTAGTTTCATCTCGGACGAGGTATCTAATTTGGCCTGAATCCGATGTCGAATGAGAGTAATGGAGATGTTCGTTACAGTGGCTTTATATAGACATGCCGTTTTATTTTATTTATTTCATTTACGTAAATTCTTTAAAAGTATAATGCAGCTATTATTGAATAGTAAAAAAATTAATCAATAGATCACAACTGGAAATCAACAATATATGAGGTCATCATCGTTTCATATGGTTTAAATTCCATGTGCTATTTATTATAGTTTTATTTTATTTATAATTATGTTTTTAAGAAAAAAAAAACAACAAAATTAATAATTCTTATGCCGTTTGAGAGTACCTAAAATATTCCAAATTGCATAAAACAATGCCAGTTTCTCATGTTGGTGTAAACTGCAACAATAATCGAAATGATCTTATTATATGCTACAGAATTTACTGTATGATCATTTCTTATACGATTTTATAATATTATTAGTTCACCCAAAGTAAAAATACATATTGGAAATAAAATTATAAAAAAAACAAAATAAAATTATTAAACATAAAAAATACTAAATGTGGGACCTAGGGAGCTATATCTTTCAGCTAGAAAACACGTGCTTTCAAAAATATTAAGCATGTCTTTTTATATTATTTTTGAACTATATGAATAAATCAACCTATTAAACTCTAAACACATGCTACACTACGTTTTAAGATTCTGAAATATTTCTTAGTTTTAAAATACATTCCGAATGTATTGCATTAATAAACCAGAATATTTGTATACATGAAAAAAAAGAATAATCGTATATAAATATATGAATTTTTACAAAATTCTTAAATAATACCTAAACTATAAAACTCTCATAAAAATACCTAATTTTTTCAAAACTTCCATAAAAATACTCATACTTTTAAAAAAATTAAATAAAACCAAAATACATTAACGTCGTTTAATTTATAATAGAATCCGACGAAAATTGATGACTCGATCGATTAACGCCGTCAAAGAAAGTTATTTTATTTGATAAATTTTTAAAAATTTAGATATTTATATGGAAGTTTTAAAAAGTTCAGGTATTTTTATAATTTAGATATTTATTTGAAAATTTTATAAAAGTTCAAGTATTTATACGATTATCAAAAAAAAATGCAATGCAAACGGTCAGAAAGAAACATAACCGGACAAGAAATAGTTAAATCCCAAAAAAAAATGCAAACGGACAGAAAGAACCATAACCGGACAAGAAATAGTTAAATCCACATCATGTCTTTGTCGTCTATGTAAATCACAACAGAAAGAAAGAAAGAGATGGGAAATAAAGCTAATAATGATAATTACTGAAAATAAATAAATAAAAAAATAGACAGAGAATCTTCTGATGTGTATACTGAAATTTTGTTTATAGTTGAAAATATTTAAAAAATTAAAAAAACAAAGGTACATTCTTAGGAATATGCTTCGGGAGTTGGAAAAGGGCGACGTGAACGAAAGCCCTTCGCCACGTACGCACACTGTGTTCATGCGTACGGATAATAAATTAAAAACCCTGAAACTTCAATCTCCTATGAAAGTAAATAAACCATTATTATTTATTACATCAAGAGGATGAAAATGGCCCACGTGGTCACATTCGGGTCGGGCCACGCTCCTTCTAGTGATGGGCCTCAGACTTGTAATTGGGCCATACACATCTTGTTAAGTTATAGGCCCATTATTTATCTTTCTATTGGGCCGTACATATTTTTGGATATCCGTTCAGATCCAAAGTCAATGGTCAATATCTCACACCAATTGAGTCAGAGGCTAGCAGTTCTTTTGCATCCTATTTTCTCCAAAGTCATTAAATTTCCACTGCATTAAAGTCAATTGGGTCATAAATGATACGTACTTGTCGTTTTCTAGAAATAGCATGATTCGGATTGCAATTTCAACTAACGTCAACAATTGTTTGAGATTTGGAGCTCATGGACCCACCCACCTTCTAAAATTTCACAAGGTTTCTAATGTCATAGAAATATATAAAATAATATATTTCTATCTGTGAATATATATTTCTCTTCAGAAAAATAAAAAATAAAAAAATTCCAACAAAATCATATTTTTCTCTCTCGACTTGTAAACGCTTCGACGCTTGGTCTTTTACCTCTGGTGTCCACGTGTCAAAAGATCGAACGGCTTCGACCACTGATCTTCTGCTGCTCCTGAAACCACTCAACTTTCTCCTCCTCCCCATTTTTCAACTCGCGGGTCCCACTTGACCGCAGCAGGAGATTTCTTGTGCCAGAATCAAAGTGTTTTGACCATTTTGCCCCTTGCTTATGTTATTCTCGAGTCTGAGACCTTGGCCTGGTCCCAGAGCAGAAGATGTTCCCCTTTTTTTCCATATTATTTTTTAATTATTATTATTTTTTGTTTTGTCCCTCTTGTCAGATCTAAAGCCGGTTTGACCATATCTATTTTAGATTTTCAAATATCTTACTGTAATATTAAACTTCCAAAAATAAATTAAGAGAACTATTTCATTTCTCTACCCCCTTTTTACGAATATTGGAGAGTGTGAATTTCGTATGGAATTCTACGGATCTTTGTTTTTAGAAGTATTATTATATTTTATTGCAAAACATAAACAGCAACTAACTAATCCATGTGCATTTTTTTTTTCTTTTTTCGCAATCTATGTGCTATTAGGTTGAAGGATTTGATGGCGGATTGCATATGAGTATCTAAATCATTTGTTGTTTTTTTTCTTAAATAAAAAGAAAATTTCTCAATAAATCCATAAATTGATAAACAATTGATGGTTTATATGAAAAAAATAAGAATTTCTGTATTTTTTCTGTTAAAAAGAATTTATGCATTTAATTACTACAGTCAATTGATATGCATTTGCCTGTTATTTTTTAGATGATCTGATTACTAATTATATCTTACACCTTCATCAACGAATTTTTATTTTTACCAAATATCAATTTAATCTTATAAATTTATCATAAACGTACGTGTCACAATTACCTGACGTTTTATTTATTAGAGTCAATGCAACGCTGTTGACGGGAGATGATAAAAATATGAAAAAAAAAAAATCAGCTAATTTAAATTTCGGGGGTTTGGATAACAATAATTGTCGAATAATTGCCAACAATTAAATTATAAAAATATAAAATAGTTAATTGATTCAAATATTGCAAGATGAGATTTAGACAACAACTTTCCTATTAAAATTTATACAAGTCATTATCGGTACGGAAAAAGCGTTGGAGTTAGATAGATGCCGCCTTTCAGAACCCTTTGATTTTTCTATGTGAATGTGAATGTATCCGGTCTTTGACTTTCAAAGTGAAAGTTGTCGAATATTATATATATACACATATATAGAGAGAGAGAGGGAGAGACGTATTAAAAAAAACACTACACTGACAAAATTATTTAAATATTATCGAATATAAATCGCTTAGATATTTATTAAAAATAGAAAACAATATTCTCATAAATCAAAGATTTACAAGTACGGTATACAAGATTAGTTATTGTTTACAAAATAATAAGTTTACTTTAATAAATAAAGTATAACAATAGTAAGAAAAAGAAAAGTATAACATTATATTGAATAGTATTGTTTAAAAATATTTTAATTAGAATGTTATTTACTGAAAAAAATAATTCATATTTATAAAAATTGTTGATTTATTTTGGAGATAATGTCAAAACAAAAAATAAAAGTATAATTAAATGAAAAAAATACAAAGATAAGATTCATCACAATACTTACATTTATTATAAATCAAATAAATGATATATATAATTAGAATAAACGGATAATATTAAACATTCCATAATTTTAAAGATTAAAGTTTTAAAACAATAAATCAATATTTCTAAACTCATTCACGTATTATATCTACAACTAAAAAACTACAAACAATTATATATTTTAACAATTAAAAAAGTTTCAACATCAATACATCAATTAACAAATTTTTAGTTTTATTTTTTCTTTTTCGATATAATTTATATAAAAAGTGAATATAAAATCGAATGATAACTTCAATTTTTTTATTAATTAATGGATCGATTTTTATTATAAATTTTAAAAAATAGATACTAAATATTTTTGTCAAATAATTGTATACTTGTACTATATGATGGGTGTCTTATATAAATTCAGATTGAATGGGATAAATTTTTTCCAAAAAACAATTTACAACGACAATAAGTTTTCTTTTCACTTTTTTACCATGTACATTTTTTTAGGAAATTACCCCGTCAGAGAAAAAAAAACAAGCTTAGGGAGTAGTTTGGTCATTCCGCAGGGTAATAAAAGCGGGTCCCATTGGAGATTCAAATCCAGTGGTCCACACTGCACATTAGCGCACCAAGTTCCCGCGCTTTATCAGTGGCCAATAAATATTTTTTTTTCCTTCTAATCTAAAATAAAACGCATTTTATTTTCTCTCTCTTTACTAAAGTCCACAAATACATTTTATCTAGAAGTTAGAAATTGAAAAATGCCATGCAGATTATAATATTAATTATGTACAGCTAAAGGTCACGATAATTAATACACAAATATTATGGATTTAAATGAGGCGTGAAAAGTGCATAATTATTAAATAATTAAAATACACAACATAAATGCAAAAGAGGAGAGTGGGTCCTACAAGGGACGGATCTGACGGTGCAGATCCAACCATAACATGAAAGATCAGATCACGTGATGCCATAAGATGTAAACAGAAAGGGTATGATTGTAATTTCATAAGGACAGGCAGAATTTATTAATCCGTACACGAGGGGGCAAAGACTCGTCAGTATTATTTTAATTTTCTATCATTAGAAAAACTAAAAAAATATCTAATTTCTAATATATTTTCGTGTTAATATTTGTATTTTAAAGAATTTGAATTTTCATATCTAGATTTTATTCCGAACGAGATCATGCTATAATAATTGATATTATGAACCGAAGAAATAAAGTAAGTTTGGATATTTTTTGTAGTTTTTAAATGTAAACACATATTTTTTTTTCGTTTTTTTACGTTGAAACACAAACTACGGGAAAAGGAAAAAAAAAGATCTGAAAAATCTCAGATTCTGGAAGAAAAAACAAAGGAAACAGGAATGAGAAGGGGGAATAAGGAAAATAAATCAAATTGGAATATTTTGGCAGAGATTTTCCTTTTGGATCTGTTCTAAACGAGAAGACTTCTGTTTGGGAAAAGAAAAAGTTACAAAAATCTCGGATTTTCACCGTCGTTTTTCGTCTCTGGTTTTCATCGTTTTCCAGAGGGAGGGAGAGAGAGGGGAAATCCGTTTCTGTATATGAGAGACACAATCTACCTGTGATTTTTTCCTTTTTGTTTGATCATTGTCTTCACCGTTTCTTCGCAAACTCACACGATTTGCCTGTGAATTTTTCGAAGAAAAAAGACAAAAAAAGTTTCTCTGTGGCTGTTTATGCGACCCATGTCACAAACTCAGCAGGATCAGAGCTCTACTGGGTCGAATCGATCTTCCGTGAAAATCCAAGGTAGCTTCCGATTCTGTCCACGGGAGATCCAAATGACCCGTTTTTGTTTCGGTAATGCGTTTGAAGATCATATGAATATGTTGATCACTGGTTCGGATTTGTTCATCTTTGCTCGTTGAAAATTCCAGAAACTTGGAGCTCAATGAACTTGTCCCATGTTAATCTTGTTTGATCAATTGTGTTCTTGTCGTGTCCCAACATGGATCTGTTTCCTTACAAAATAGGTTTTGCGCTCTTGTTAGCTTGTAAAACCCAGAATTTGATAGCTGATCACGATTCTGTAAAATGGGTTTATGCCAAAATTGTTTTGCGGCATCCGATTTCTGGTGGGTCGGTGCTGCTAATCATGTTTAGATACTGATTGATCATTTCGAACGGGCGATGTGTTCTTCAGATGCCTTTAGGCGGATAAAGTTAAATGAAGACGGTGATGCTCAATCCAGTCCGTATCCTGATCGGCCAGGTGAACGAGATTGTCCGTTCTATCTGAGGACAGGGCTGTGTGGTTATGGAAGCAACTGCCGTTACAATCACCCTCCTTTTGTTTCTCAGGTGAGAAGGCAGAATCTCGAATTGAGTTGCTTTGTTCTGGTTTTTGCTTTGGCTTACAGTTTTGTAACATCTTAATAGGCTATCTTTTATTACAAAGACGAACTCCCTGAGAGAGTTGGACAACCGGACTGTGAGGTGCGCTTCTTGAATCTTCTGTTTTTCGTGTTCATCTGAGGAAAATTTTGTGGCTTTTCCGGTCTAAATTTGTAATAGATTATGAATCTAGAATATGATGTTTCACACGATGGCTTCTAGTGATAACGTGACACTAGAATTTTGTTCAAGTTTGTAGCTTTACTTGAGAGGCAACAGCATTTTACATTTAAACTGAGGAATATGCATGTCTTGAGGATTGAGGCCTTCTTCTTCTTTCCTTTTTCCTCTGTCTTTCCTCTTCTGCTCGTTAGAGTCTTACTGAATTACCTGAGCTAGATACTGCTTGGTTAGTGTGATGTATCATATTGTTTTCTTCCCTTGAAAGTGTTTGCCAAGCTAGCTCTTTTTTTTTTTGGGTACTTGGTTGCAGTATTTTCTGAAGACAGGAACCTGTAAGTATGGCCCTACGTGTAAATATCATCATCCGAAGGACAGGAATGGCGCTGGACCTGTGTTGTTCAATGTTCTCGGTTTTCCTATTCGTCAGGTAATCTTTATCATCCAATGGCAGGCAGTCGGCTAGTTACAGTTACTATTATCATTCGGCTTTATTAGTTCAGCAAAACCTTTATTGAACATCATTTCCAGGGCGAAAAATCATGCACATATTACCTGCGGACTGGAACGTGCAAATTCGGAGTTGCTTGCAAATTCCATCATCCTCAGCCTGTTAATGAACCTTCAGCTGCATATGGGTTGTCTAGCTATTCTTCTGTAGGCTTGCCATATCTCGGCGGCGGGTTGACAATGGTGTCTTTGCCACCTGCAACTTATGGATCGGTTCTAAGTAGGCAAGCTCCTCAGGCCTATGTGCCTGTCATGGTTTCACCTTCTCAAGGCATTCTACCTCCTCAAGGCTGGGCCACTTACACTGTAAGTATAAAATTTCTTGCCCTGTGGTTGAAGTTGAAAGCCGCTTTCTTGTTTCTGTATTGTAAACTAGGCACAGATTCTGCTCTTAAACAAATTTGACTTACCCCTCAGAGATTCAATCCGACGTTTTCTTACCGTCGATTTCACTTTAACAAATAAATTTGTGCCTCATATCCAGGATGTATGTTCACTTTGGAAGAATGTTCGAGTTGGGTTGGTTTAGTTTATTCCGTAGTTGCTCTTTGATCAACATCTATCTACAAAATCACATTATATGATTCCTGGGTTAGCCAACGGGCACTGCAACGATCTCCAGGCTGGAACTTGCACATTATTTGTATTTGAGTTTGTAGTCATATTCATATTGAAAATGTTTCTATAGTTTCTCCATGTATGACAGATCAACTGGTTGATCTTTTCTCAAAGACTTAACCATGAAGTTTTTTTTTTTGTTGTGTTTTCGTTTTGGGGCAGGCTACATCTAACCCCATATACAATGTGAAAGATCAACCTGACTCGAGTTCCAGTGCATCTGTGCCAGTGGCTGTAACCTTGAACCAGAGTTTGCCTGAAAGACATGACCAACCAGAATGCCGTTTTTTTATGAGCAGCGGAACATGTAGATATGGAGATGACTGCAAATATAATCATCCCAAAGAAAGGATTTCACAATCACCACCAAATCTCTTAAACCCTGTTGTTCTCCCATCTAGACCTGTAAGTCTCTCATTCTCTCTCTCTCTCTCGTTTTTGTTCATCGCCCATAAGACTTTTATCTCAACTCAGTCTGATTCTCGGTTGAAAACTTGAAATAAGAAGAGCTCTAGGGAGAAAAAATCTTAGGCCAGAGGTTCATGTTAGGTTGAAGATCGGTTCACAACTGAATCGTTATTCAGTCCATAAATGTTTCATGAATAAAAATCATAATCTTTAGCTTTGCAGCATCTCTTGCAAGAGGGAACCTAATTTGAAATCACCTGATGGGCTTAATGGACGATTTCCTCGTGAATCTTTATCAGTAATAATTGCCATAGTTTTCATATTTGGCCTTAGTTTTTTCACCCATGATATCGTATCTTGGTCTTATATATTACTTTTAGCACCGATGATGATGATGGTGATGATGATGATGATGATGTGAAATTAAGAGTTTTTGTTGTTGTTGTTCTACTTGTTGTTTGAAGGGACAACCGGCATGTGCAAATTTCATGGCATACGGATCCTGCAAGTTTGGACCAAACTGCAAATTTGACCACTCTTTGCCGCCATACCCTTTCAACATGGCCTTGACCGTGCCTCCTCTACCCTATGCTTCCCCAGTTTCAACTCATATGAGTATCTCGCCTCAAACTCGTTCTGATTCACCGGCCCTGTCTGATGGCAAACCCACCGAGAAGAACCGGAACTCAGAGGCAGTTTCTAAACAGGTGGTCGACTCAGAAGCGCAGTTTTCGTCAGAAAAAACGTCTTGCTCAATGATCACCAGCGTCAAAAGCAGCAGCGTGGCCTGAAATCATTGAATCCCCTGCCCGGGTTTCTTGAAATGTGCAATGATCTCTCTGCCCTTTTTGTTGTTTTTGGAAGGAGGGATTGAAAAATGAAAACTTTCATCATCTTTTGGGACTTTTGGAGTTTTTTTTTCCCTTAGCTGACACGAATAGGAACTGGAAGAGAAAAGGGTGTTCTGTTGTTTTGATTTGTGTTAATAAATTTACATCGCCGGAAAGAGAGAATTCAGACATATTATATTACTATATGCTACGGATATTTTTGTCCTCTCCGAGAACACATTCTATGTTCGTGTCTCCTCTTTTGTGGTTTCCAAATGTAACGTCTCATCGCTCGCTTTATCGAATACGCATTCATGAAAGCTATGGACTAATATATATATATATATATATATATATATATATATGTGTGTGTGTGTGTGTGTGTGTATGTATATGCACGCATTCAAGGGGAATTCATGTTTGATCCTTCCTGTAGCCAAAATGAAAGTATATCGTTCCAGTGATTCCACGGTAAATAGACTTTCAAAATAAGCATTTTTAAGACAATCTGACAAAAAATGAACTGAACTCTCCATCTCGTCTCTTTGTTTTTAATGCCGACTGGTTGGTGATCGTCGTGCACAGGATCACTTTCTTGCGGCCCACGTAATGTTTTTTTTTTCCTCTTGCGAGAGAAGAGGGTGAAATAGTGGGAAGAGTACGTACGTTCAAGAAATTACTTTGCCGTGAGACCAGCTCAAGAGCTAAACTCTTCCCACCGTGAATAGTGAAAATCCCATTCCTTATGTAACCAAGCCTTAAAAATTACTCTCCTCCACGCTCGACCAAGAAAACATTGAAAAAAAAAATAGAGTAAATAACGAAAAACTGAAATTAAGATTAAAAATATATATATTTCGGGGACAATGGCGGCATTGGCGGTCTTTTCACGCTCCTCCTATACCTATGCGCCTTCTTCATCAAGGCCAATGCTGACGTCATAGGCGGTGGGGGCCACGCTCCCTGCGGCTGCGATTCCGGTCACCGTGACGATAACGAGCTGTGCTTGGAGGAGAACGAGGATGACGACGATGGCGTGGATGATGTGTACAAGGTGGTGAACGATATGAAGATCTATACTTGATCTATGATGATGATGATGATGATGATGAATGTGGGAGGATGTATGGATGCATATAAGGGGATCTCCCCCATCTCTGTTGGTTTGAGAGCCCATTTCCTGAACAAGAGGTCGTGGGTTCAACACCCAGAGTATGGACATTTCCCTTCCGGCCACTTTCGGGGTGCTTCACATCCCACACGTGTGGTGCCGGTTGTACGTGTGGGTCGGGATTAGTCTGGGCCCTTTGGGCCTGAGATTACCCGGTTATCAAAAAAAAAAATGTATGGATGCAGATGGTTGATTATCAATATAGTCTATTTCTTCGCTTCTTCTGTGTTTTTTTTCTTTTATAATGGGTGTTTGTCGTATGGGTTATTTCTTTAATTTAATCTTGAAAAATCCCATATACATACATACATACATACATACATCATGGAAGATCTATACTTGATCTATGGTGAAACTATCATGACATAATTCGGTAAACATTAACCAAAAGAACATTTTACAACACAGTTTCATCATACTACACAATACAAAACGTATTACAACGTTGAACGTGCTGGTAAAACCATATTATACACACTTCATCAAAAGGCTAACTCAGTTGAACGAGTCGGAACGAGTCCAAGTATGTAACATCGCTACAAACCGCGATTTCTGAGCTCGAGAAGATGATTTCAGCGTTCCGAAGAGAGAATCCGTGGATTATTGGCAAAGGAAAGCCCTTTTCGAGCCGTGTGTTCACGTACGGTACGAATACGGTTTGTATAACTGTCCATATGATTGGCTGCGAGATCGGAAAAGACAAGAGAGTAAAACGTGAATGTCTTTCATTGCACGAACCTTATCTTCCAGTTCTGCACTGTGAATTTTGTCTGAATCTGTACTGTACCTGGATGAGATGCAGGTGGAGATTTCCGATGTTACTCCACTTCAAGGACATGGCAAAGTCTTCTAATCTTACGCTTCCGCCGAGGTTATTACCCGTTACTTTTAGAGAACCCGACCCACTGACGACCTGTAACCGGAGAGAAGATTCCAGAAACTTACAAACACGAATCTGAAACAGTAGGCATATGTATGTATGTGTGCAGAGAAGCACATTTCATTATGAATGAATGAAGGGATGTATATATTTTGTTCACCGGCTTACCAAAGAGATGCATGCTACTGGAATGACTTGGTCTGTTTCCAAAACATCGATTACTAGGTCTGCATTTACAGTGGCCCCGACATTTTGCTCTGAGATCTTCAAGATTGGAGGAGAAGACAAGCTGATGTTCAGATTCATATCGTGATTTGGGTACTTCTTGTAGAGTTGTGGGATGATGAACCTCCACCGGGCAGTGTTTAAAAGAGACTGATCTGGTACTTTATCCACGATCCATTCCATAAAATCTGCCTGAATGTGGCGAACAAAGAAATCATCAACATGTAAGAAAAAACAAAAGTGGAAAATGATTAATATGTTTGGATCGATAAGAACATGGGCAAGCTGATAGGATCAAACGCATTCTATTTGACCCAGATGAAGCATGACTGGCAGCAAGAAAACACGACAGAAATGTGTAAAGTATTAAGAGACACGACATATGGGTTACGAGGAGAAATTACAACTTACATTATAGTACAAAGCTGATGCAGAGTTAAAGACAGCTTCATCCACCGAAATTCCAAGCATTTTAGAATCCTCTGGGCAGGGAAATGAAGATAAGGAATTTCTTTGGTAGAACTCCATGGCTTGAATGATTTCTCTCTTTGTGAACAAGCCATTGATCTCAAAAGTGACGGACGAATTGCTCAGTATAGGATCAGTAGTAAAAGTGACATTCAGTGCAGCTTTATCATCTACTGGAATTTCCTTTGGAAGGCTTTGTAGGAACGAATCAAGCTCTGTTACTCCTTCATTTAGTTTTTTGGTTATGGTACTTTCCACACCGGATCCTATCTGGTCTTTGAACGCATTAATCATCCTGAAACCAGAGAACAAAAATAAAAACAGACTTTAGAAAACCCCAACAGAGACGAGCCATGCAGTATGGAAAATAGAGAAATCGTACAGAGAAGTGCTTCATCCCCACAGAAATGAAATCTATTGCAAGAAAAATAATTTTAATCATTCGTTTTTAACAAAATCCATGAAAAACACAGCACCGAGACTCTAATTCCAGAGCTTTAACACAAACCAAACTTGACTAACGAAACCATTTCTTCTTTTAAAGCAGATATATTATGCTAATGCCTTTTCAACAGTGTGTGAGATGAGCCAAAGCTATTAAACCATTACAATTATGACCTTACTTCTAACATCCAGAACTCACGAGAAAGCTCGATTCAAATAGAATGGTTACATGATCCAGCCCATTGCTAAGCAAACATCAATACGAATTGCAATGAACCAAAAGCAGGAGTCAAAAGTATAATCTGGTATTTCTCGTAAAAGAAAACACAGACCACCAGAGAGAAGAAGCATATGACCTTAGATAAACTACAAGAGTAAAGAAGAGCAAAGCTTTTACCAAATGGAAAAGAGTTACCATAACTGGTATTTCATACCCCTGATAAAGCCAAGAGGCTCCTCCTTCTAACTTTATGGATATGTCTTTCACATAACATCCAGAATCCGATAGAGAAAGCTTTAGACTCCCTTCATCAGTCTGCAAGCCTAATGAAAGCCCAATTTCCATGCCTTCAACCTTACCGAGAATCAGCACTCATCAAACCTCCTTGGTAAAACAGACATGAAAATGAGCAAAGAAACAGACGAAAAGCAACAAAAAAAAATGGAAAATAATGTTGATAAGCACAACAGTCACCTCCCATTCTCACATGTACGCTGTTCCAATAACACTAACAAAGAACATAAAGCAAAAACAGAGTGACATCAGTTGTAAAGAGGCCAATCTATCGAAATGATATCTTGGGCATTTCAATATATTCTTTATGAAACTCGAAAACTAGGATTGCTTCTACTGGGAACGATTTTTCCAAGCCTGATGAGTAGCTCACACAGAGCCAAAGTGCAAATGAATGCACACACAGGAGTAGATGTACATAGATAAATTACTGTAGCAATTTGATGTTCATAGGAAACACCTCTGGCTACATTTCTGATCACAAATAAAACCTTCCCTCAGCAATAGATTGTATCTAAGCACAAAATTTGGCAATGCAATAGAACTAAGAACCAAACTTTGCTTCGGATTGTAGTAGAACAATCAATGGCAAGATCAACAGTTAAACCAAATCGACTAAGAAAATGTACTAACTGGTCAAACGACCGAGAAACGTTACCTGAACAGAGGCAAGCCCTTGATCCGAGATCTCCGCAGGAACAATCCAGGTGCTGTAAGAATAACGCCACTGCATACTCAAATTGCAGGTCGTCCCGGAGGCGACGATGACGACACCGGTCTCACCAGGCTTGACGTAAGACGACGCGACATCAAGCTCGTATATCGTGATGTTGGAGACGACAACATCGATTCCTCCGAGAAACGGGATTTTGATCGACTTCTCGATCCTGGGAATCTGAAGAGGGATCATTGACGCGATGAATTTGTCGACTAGCAGATTTTTGACGAAATCGAGGCCGTGTTGCGATACGAGAACGGATGTGAAGGAATTTCTCTGCGAATGCGAAGGGAGGATGAACAGACTTGGCACAAGGAGAACGAGAAAGCTCCACCTGATATCCATGGCGGAAATTCACCTTCTTTTCGTGTTTAATTTGAAGATTACGAAGTGAATTTGCAAAGGAAGGGCAAAAACGTTTTCTCAAGAACTAGATGAAGAGTTAGTGTCACGCAAGTAGACTCTTATAAAATGTCCAAAATAACCTTGTAATTTGGTTAGGGTTGTGAGAGTCCATCAAGCATTCTTCGGGACAATCAGCAAGCAATTAAGAATGTTGGGGTGACAACATAATAATAGAAAATTGAGGTTGTGTTGTTGTGGGCTTTTTTTACCCCTTTGGTGAAAGGATTCCTTCACTTATATTCATTTATTTCGACGTTTTGGCAAGGTGATCACGGAATAAATAAATCAATTTCAACCTAACAATGTATAATTGTAATCTAATAAAATTTGATATAAAAATTAAATGGTTTTTTTAAAATAAAAAATTAAATTCGAACCAAATAAAAAAAAAAACTAAAAAATAGAAAATTTTATTGGAAAAAATATTTTTATCAATAAAAAACAAACGGATTCCTTTCCAATATAGAAAACTTAGTTATACTAGGAGAGAACCGCGCTATGCGCGGTTTATTTTTTTTATTGTTAATATAAAATGTTTGTTCTTTTGTTATAAAAACGAAATAATAGAATTTGAATATAATCGAATCTAATAGAATCAAAATCCGAAAAAGCTGACGAATCGGGAAGTTTTTTGTTTTTATGTTTTTATTTAGTAAATAAAGTTTAGAAAAAATATATTTCAAAAGGGAATGAAGAAATGCAAGAAGGAATAATTTTTTGTTTTTTTTTTATGATTTTATTTAGTAAATAAAGGCCTTTTGAGCCCAACAGAAACAAATGGGTCCGAATCCAGGCTTTTTTCTTTTTTGGAGTGAAAAGGTGAGGGAAAAAAAATAAAGAATTAATTTACATATTACTAGTTTTTTACTCTCCTTCACGTTTATTTAACTTTGGTAATTAATAAACAAAAAAAAATCATATATTATCCACACACACACCCGTAATGATTAATAATTTTATAAATCAGATTTCAAGGGTTCGAATTTGGAAGCCTTTTTATAATTATATATGTATGATCATTTTGTTTATATTTCGATTAAATATCATATATATATATAAATATATAAATGTACATGTATTATATGAACTGGGGGCAGTCAATAATGACAAAGGGGATCGCATTCCTCACGTGTAGTGTTTCAACGAATGTAATTCCTATAGAATTTGTTCAAAGTTAGACAGAAACGCGAGCGTTTGAAATCGCCACTCACTTGGGGGCCTTATCTCTTTATTAATTATTCCTATTTATCTCTTACCGAAAATAAAACACGTGTTGTGTCCGTTTATTTCTTTTAAACGGATAACGTTTCGGATATTTATCCCTTCTTTGTTGTTCCAAACTCCTTTATTTTGGTATATATATATATGACCCCTTTTTGTTAGGATTACATCAACTCATCAGTGTCTTCTTGACATTTATAATAAACCCTAATTCCACGCAAATTTTAGTTTTGAGCTAAAAATTTAGTCTTTACTACTTTTCTGTATAGAAAAATAAGATTAAATAATACATAGTCTTTACAATACAGATACATATGTGTCGTTTGTGTCCATTGATACGTAACGTAAGCCTATACCCATATGCCATATGTATGGTACATATATATGAACCTTTAAACAACATTTCGAATAATATAGTAATCGTTTGTAGTGTTCATAGCAAGCCAAAAGCAGTTGATATTTTGGAATATAAATAATTGGTTCAAATAACTCCTCCGAAGTTTGATTCTTTTGTTTATTTTTCCCGATTTCTTTGCTTAGGAATCTATTCGAAACTCTACTTTTTAAAATGTATTTTTCCTATGAATCTGTCCGCACTACATTACTTTGTTGTATATACATATCCACGTATGTATGTATGTTAATGATATTTTTGCACTGATGTGGCACGATAAACTCCACATGGAATTTTCTACTTTAGCACCCAAAAATAAATTAAAAAGCAACCAAAAGAAAAAAAACAAATCATTGTCCGAAGCTGCACGTTTCTATATATATATATATATATATATAGTTAGTGTGTGTGTGGAGTTGTGCATGCCATACATATACGCAAGTGTTGCATCGGCACATGAAAACAACAAAATATGGTACTTAATTGGGCTAAAGATCTTGCTTTGGGAGCCGTATCAGTTGTTTCGTCGAAACTAGATTTCCGTCTCGACGGTCCGTTCCGTTCATATCTCTATATGTATATATATATATATATACACTTTTTGTGTGTATGTGTATAAATAATTATATGAATAATTTGATCGTATATTGACATGTTTCATATCTTTCTCGTTGAACGCAGAGATAATAGAATTCTTCGCAGAAGATCACAAATATGCTCACTTGATGAAAGTTGATGGACTCTCCACTCTATCAAAACACAATGCTGAAAGATGTGAATCTTCTATTTTCGACGAGTACGGTTATCAATGGTACGTTTACTCTCTCTCTCTATATATATATATATATATATATATGTATATATATGTGTGTATGTGTGTGTGTACATATTTAAAATTATAGAGAGTTTTTTTTAGTTAGTATGAAGTTTGGAATTACCAAATAGAAACAATAGGGTGTTCTATGTTTCTTCTCTTTTCGTGGACACGACATTTTTCTTTAAATACAAATTACCCTTTTATATATATATATAAAAAAGAAACCAATATAGTATTTCAAAACTCTCCATAATTTTTAATACATACATACATACATATATATATGTATATTGATGGTGGGGAATGACTAACGCAGGAAGTTGGTTTATTTCCAAAGAGGAAAAGGTTCAAATAAGAATGTATCCCTCTACGTTGAGATGGAAGACGCAGAATCTTTACCTGCTAATCGGTCCATACTTGTTGATCTCCATTTCTTCATAATTTCTCAGTCGGGACTTGCATGGCTACCACGTGACTGTAAGCTCTCATATATGCATCCACATTAAACATGTACGCGTATATATATAATATATACACACGTTCCAACATCATCACGTGACTGTAAGTTCTCATATATATATATATACACGTGTGTGTGTGTGTGTGTGTTTGATTCGTTAGATAATAATGCCTACTTCAATTCATCAAACTCTATGCGTGGAATCGCAAACTGGAAGTCGTTCGAGCTTCTTTCTATGGGGAAATTTCTAGTGAACGACAGCTTAGTCGTCGGTTTCGAGATCAAGAATATGAAACGCGGGAGTACACGTGGAGTTCCTCGACCTGTGGGCACAACCGAATGTCTCAGGCTCATCGAGAAGCCTCGCAACAACAAATTCACGTGGAAGATCACGAAATTCTCCACGTTCAAACAAACCACTCATCATTCCAATCCAGTCGTTGTCGGACAAAGGGAATGGTATATACGTATATATATATAATCCATGGAACCATGAACCAAAACCCGTTCAAAAGATCCGTTTTTTGTTTTTGGGTTGACGAAATTAAACCTACAATCCGGCAGGGTTATAACGATGTACCCGAATGGAGCGATGGATGGACATGGGAATTCACTATCCGTGTACTTGAAGCCGATTGGCTATATACAGGATGCTCCAATGGCCTCGACTTTAGGGAAAATCACTCTTCGAGCGTTGAACCAACTCGACGACGATGAAGATCTCGAATATCCTTTTGGTAAGTTACCTGTCTAACCTTTTTTTTTTCAAACGACAAAAATGGAAATTTAGGCCTTGACACTCGAAGTGTATGAATTCACATACGAAATATACATGTATATATATGCATAGACAACAAGAAAGAAGGAACCATTTGTATAACATCCTCTGACTTTTCCGCTTGCTGCAGTCCATTCGTTCGGTCCATCGAGTCTGGGATTCGGAGAAAGTCAGTTTCTGCCGTTCACGTCTCTCTACGATGAATCAAGTGGCTTTCTGGTGAACGACGTTATATATATCGGAGTCGAGTTCCACGTTATATCGGTCACCGAGGACCTCTGATGATATCAACAAACATATGCTATGTTATGTAATAAGGGTTTCTACTTTCCCCGAAACAATTTCGGGTGTTTCTAATTAGATCGTGTTTGACATGTAATAATACGCATCGTGGATGCCAAACTTTTATTTATCGTTTACTTTTATATGCTTTAGAATATATTTTTCTGTTTCAAAAGAAATGACGTTTTTAGATTTTTCATGCAAATTTTCCAAGTAGCTCTTTAAATATTGATTTAGTCCGATTTTGTTATATTAAAAATTGTTTTTTTCCCCTAAAGATTTTAATCACTGGTGATGATGTGATGCTAGAGAGAGAAACATTGCAAGGGCTTTCATGGTGGTGGAATCTAAAGGAACATTCACTAGTACGAATGTTAATTAGTACTCAAGTGATTAGGGATTAATCTGTTCATATAGTCAACACACTCTTTATTCATTGTTATTACATACACACAGACATAACATTACACACACCCAGCAAAGCATTATTCATTATCATCATTATAACTATACACACACACATATATATATATATATATAGAGAGAGAGAGAGAGAAGCTCGAGCTCTAAGAGATGGCTCGGCCGATCAGGTGGCTGCTGGGTGGAAGAGAGAGAGAGAGTTGACCGAACACGTAGTCTCAGATGAAGTCGCTAGCGTAGGTCATGGGTTCGGTGACGTATTCGGTGAACTCTCGGTCGAACAACTTGGGAGCGTACCCTTTGGCTCGGTGGCTCTCGAAGTAGCAGACGCTAATGGTCATGTCGGTGTCGAGGAATTTGCGTAGCCATTCCCCCGAAGACCTCATGTGTCTTTTCATGTCGTCGTTGTAGTCCACGTAGTAGAGTCCGAACCTCACTCTGTACCCTCTATCCCATTCGAAGTTGTCCATCAACGACCATACGAAGTACCCTTTCACTCTCACTTCATCGAATCTGTCGCCAAACACATATACGCATTTGTGTGTGTATACATATATATGTATATATGCTTGTCATGATATATCATTTGTATGATATGATTGTATAGATGACGTACCTGATGGCTTTTCCCATCATTAAGATGTGACTGTTGAGGAATTCTTTCCTCCCTTTGTCATTAAGGGCTTCTTCTAACGATTTCTGACCATCATCCATCTCGTCCAGCCCTATATATATATATATATACACACATTAGTTAATTAACAAAAAAAACAGCAAATCCATCCGCACACTCATACATACACCTATATATATATATATATATCATAATAAAAAAGGTACATACATACACCTAAATTTGGTCCCTTCAGTGTTTAAATATTTCTTTTTTTTATTAGTTTCAAATGAGATTTTTTTGCTTACCATTTTCCATTATATAAATCTCCGGATCGTTGTAATAGTCTTTGATGTGTTTTAAGACCCGTCTCAAACCCAAGGGATACACCACAATGCCCATTGAAGAAGCCTGCGCAGCATACAAATAGTTTATTATATATACATTATATATATATTTGTATATATACACGTATATACGTACCTTGAGATGTGGTGACTCCTTTTGCTCAGCTGCGAGAACCATGCAAGAGAAGATCAAAATCGATCACACAGACATTCATATATACGTATATATACATACACACACATATATATATATGGAATCGGTGTGGTAAAATTGAAAAGGAAAACGTACTTGTGAAGTTGGTGGCGAGATCTGCAGCGTAACTGAGCTTGGATATATTGACTTTGTCGTTAGCGGTGACGAAGAATGCTCCGTAGTAATTAAGCCCCACGAAATCCAAGTAGCATTTTTCTTTCAAGACCTTAGATTCTTCTGGGGTGAACTTTGGCAGTCTTTCTCCTACGTCTTCCTTCATCACCTCCGGATACTCTCCGCGCGTTAGAGGGTCAAGAAACCTGCCCCCACGTCATATCCATTTCCATGCAATAACCCATTTTTTACGTGAGAATATATATATATATATATATTATGTATATATAATTAGAAATGGAAAGGTGGAATTTCGGGGAATAATTCACCATCCGAGTTGGAAGTCGAGGGATCGTCTCGCCGACTTCTTATCATCTTCGGAATTGGGATCCTTGGGTTCATACCAATGGGAAACAAGCACTATGCCAATCTTCCCTCCTTCGCACTGTTCATAAACATTTCAAGAATCATTCAAAACCCTTAAAAGGATACATATATATATATCTTGTATATGTAAATATATCATTCTTGGATTGATGGTGTGATCATTGGCTAGTTAGATTATATGTTGAATATGTACTATAGTTAATGCTTTTAATATATAGCTCTCATCGAGAAGAATCATATTTATTCACTACACACACAAAAAAAAACCATGGAAGGTCGGACCAACCTTATCACATTTCCGGAACTCGTCGACAGCGGCGACATGAGCAAGAATCTGGTTGTGAGCAGTGATGTAAGCCTCGCGAGATGAATCTCCCGTCATGCACAGGTCGTTCTCCCACGGAGAGCATCGTCCCGGCGCTTTCTTGCCTTTCGAGTAGCCAGCGACGCTATACACCGACGGCTCGTTGAACGTCGCCCAGTTTTTCACCCTGTCTCCGAATCTTTGGAAACAGAATCTCGCGAAATCTCGAAAGTCTTTTCTGTAAGTAAAACATCCGTCATACTAAATGCGCTAAGTATACAATTAACCACTGTAAAATTTAGTACAAAAAGGTTTACTTACACAATGTCTTTGCTCAAGAACCCATTGTACTCCGTTTCAAGAGCCAGAGGAGATTCCCAGTGAAATAGTGTGATCGCGGGCTGGATTCCTGTTAGATTAATTACATCATTTTCAAGAGAATAAGTATATAACTTCCCCAAAATATTGACTGAATGAAACACGGACAAGTTTAAATGAGTGAAAATAGTTTCTAACCATTGTCCAAGAGTTCGTTTATAAGATCGTTGTAGAACTGAACCCCCTTCTCGTTCACACCATTACTCACTCGTCCATCTGGAGATTCGAAATATGAGTCACGACGACAACACTATCGTCTTAAACACCGGTTTCATGGGTTGAAGCATCCATATATATATACGCACACGTACAAGGAATTAGGATTTATGGACTTACAAGGTAAGACCCTGGTCCATGAGATTGAAAATCTGAACCCGTTCGTCCTCAGTTCCTTCATTAATTGGATATCTTCCTGCATGACATTAAGACATATGTTTTTTTTTTTAGAAATCGGTCCGGTTAGCACATTATCGCCGGCCGACTCTATGTTAATCTAATTGAACCACGACTATGACCTTGTAACGGTTAATGAAATCGACTCCCATGTCTCCATCAGAATTGTTTTGAACCTTGTCTGTAATACATTATTAAAAAAAAAAAAAAGCTATCAACTGATTATGTCACAAACAAAATTATCACATGTACATACAATTTTAGATGTACGTACATACTAAGATACATATGTGTGCATGTGTGTATACATACCTGCATACATGTGGGTAAACTGGTCCCATGTCGTCATGCCTCTTCCAGCGCCCTTTTTGGCACCTTCCACCTGAACACGAATCCATCGGACCAAGTCATAATATAATGAATCCGGGAAAAGATTCTGATGATACCCATGTAATAAAAAACAAAAACAAAAAGTGTATATATATATTATTCACCTGATAAGCTGAGACAGAAGTTCCAAAGATGAAATCATCAGGGAAATCGCTTCGCTTCACTTCAACCTCGTGAGGTCCGATGATGTCGCCTAGATCATCATCTTCCGTGTTATCGTCGTCGGGGAATTCATGCGGTCCGAGCACAATTCCTAGCTCCTCCTCGTCGAAATGGCGGTGGGGCCGAGCTCCGGTTAAGCTAAGAAAGCTCAGTAGGGCTAAGAGCCCTAATAGAAGAGAGAGAGTCGTAGATCTCTTCATTAGGGTTTTTCCTCAAGTGAAAATGGAGTTTGTTTGTAAGTGTTTTGTGTTTTTGTATGGTTTGTGATGAATGTTTAAGGGAGAGCCCTCGAGTATATATAGAGGGAGAAAAAGGTCGAAGCGTCGAGTGCACGTTGCATGGACAAGGCATTGTAATTTGGCTAAAGGGAGAAGTTATTATGTTGTATTAACTACAAGTTTTTACGTTAGCTTTCTCTGATAACGACATTAATTTGGATCTCTAAATTAATCTTTAAATGACAATTAAGTGATCCCAAACCAATGTATAATTACCCTATAGTACAACTTAATTATATATGAAAATTAAAGTCCTTGCAAAACAGACAATGCATAGATTCTAATTATGGCTAAACCCTAAAAAACCTTAACTTAAAACAAACAAAATCTAACTAAACCGGACCAAACCGGCCTCACAATATGCCCGCATTTCAGAGATGACAAAAAAACATATATATGGTTAAATACTTAAATTAATATCCATATTATCTTCTTAAAATAAAATATTCTACTGTATTCTCTCAATAATTAAACACATTTTAATTCAAATTAAATACTTTTAACTTAAAAATAGCGGTCCATGGTAAAAATTGGAAGTACCAAATCATATATATATATATATAAGTTAATTTTGTACTTCCATATATATATATATATATATTTATATCACAGCAATTTTTATTCGCTGAGCGACATTAAGTTTATTTTTCCTAAGTCCAATTTATTTCTTATGTATATATGTTTCTTTTTCCTTTGAATAATCTCTTTAATCATTCATTTTGTCCTTTTTTCATTAAGCACTTGTCATTATCCAGAAGCCCTTTAAATTAAAGATTATTCTAATTCTTTGCCCGCACCTTTAACTTATTTAACATTCCATTTTCTCGCTGACACGCATCCCTCGTTATCCCCCCGAGACGAAATATTCTATCTTTTAAAAAAAAATAGAAAAAAAATTCGCAAGTATAGTGACATTCGCATTACACTCGTCACTCTTTCAATACATTCTTTGCAATTTCTTAATGGAATTCGATATCTTTACGCAGCTTAATGGTTTTTATTTTGTAAAATTACTATTCCCTATGCGTTTACGAACGTTATTATATCAAAAATATCTTTATTTTGTTTATTTCAATACATACATTTTTCCAACCGTGATCATTTGACACATGTGATCCAAAATATAGTGTGATCACATTTTGATTTTATTTATTATAACGTTAAATTTATATTGATCTTACTAATTCATTATTGTATATCTTACTAATTATTTGATTAAAACATCATAAATTTAACGTTATGAACTCTATATTTTGGGTTACATGGATCACATGGTGACAATTGAAAAATGTATGTGTTGAAGTAGTAATAAAAAAGTAAGAATATTTTTTATGATGACCTTTAAGAAGTGTATCAATAATATTTATAAACACTAAAACTTAGTTTTTTTTTTCTTTCTGAAATAATTCAAGCTTCAAAAACATTAAGAGAGAAAAAGAAGGGTTTTTCTTTTTCGTTTTTTAATTTTTCAAAATATGCTAAAATAAGGGGTATAAATTTGGAATAGAAAAATACGTATTTGGGAAAAAAGGATTACGATAAGAAAAGGTTCACATCTTTCTTTATTCTTTTCTTGCGAACCGTACATTTCCCTTTTCCGAGTCTTCTGACACAATCTCAAGAAAAGTTTTTTTTAAATATCTGTTTTTTTATTTTTATAAATGGATATAATGATTCTCTTAAGCAAAATAGTCAATGTGTATAATATATATATACTTGGTAGTTGTAACTTGTAATATCCCTCTTAATCTATATGAATTGCGTTTAATGCGATTGATGTTTATATATTAATATACTCCCAGTTGATATCAAACGCTGCGTTTAGCGTTTTTCGTACTAAAATCCATGATAATTGTTTTTTCACCAATTCATCCGTTGTTGCTAACGCTAGCCGTTCTAAAATTTACCCTTGTCAAAGCAATGCAAAAGTGATTACGTGCATGGCACTCACGTAATCTTCCCATGCAAATCGCGTTCCGTACTCTTATCTATAATGTCTAGGGCTTTTTTTTAACGAGGCTACTTCACACACACAGAAGAATCTCGCAACACTCCTCCTCGGATCCATATAGCCGATCTGTAGCTAATATTTGTGAAAACTAGGGTAGATATTTCGGTTTTCGGTTCGATACGGTATTTTCGGTTTTATAAAAATTATACCAAAGTAGAACTAAATGTTAAACGATTCAGTTCGATTCGTTTTTAGTTTCGGTTCAATTTGAAACTATATCGTTAAATGAATATATCGAATAAGTACTAAACCATAATATAAAAATATTAGTGGATAATTTAACTTTTGGTTAGGTACTAATCGGATAATAGTATATTCTATTCTATAAAAAAATATATATACCAAATTAGAACAGAAGTTATGCGGTTTAGTTCGGTCCTAAATTAAATTCTTGAACCGTAGTGCCCAAATCCATGCAAGTGACATGAGATTGGAACATGAAAAAACGAACTTCATTCGTTCCCACATTCTGCCCTCTTGCAAGCAGATAATATTTATGTATATGTGTATATATATATATATGTATATATTGTGTATATTATATGTATAAACATATATATATATATATATTATATTTGTATATGCATATGACATTATAAGTTTATGTGTATGTATATGTGTGAGCATATTTTTATTTTTATTTTTTAATACTGCTCACGTGATAGTTATATGTCACTTATTTGGTTGTGTTCAAAATTCCGACAATCACGTCGTCATCGAATTTTGTCAAATGTCTAACGTGGTCATCGATTATGGAAAAATTTTGTAGTTGTAGAAGAAGTTGTATATTTATTTAGAATTTTAAAATATTTTATAAAAACTAACAGTGTTATTGACACTTCTCATTTTATATAAATAATGACACTTCTCATTTTATTATAAAAACTATACGTAGAGATCAATGTTTGTATTTTGAAAAAAAGAAAGAAAAAAATGTTTGAATTTTGGTTTAGGAATATAATATATGAGTATTATATTATATAAATAATGGTTGCTACAAAAATTATATATGAAATTAATTTAAATAAGAGATTCACGTTCACGTCGTCTGTAGCCTTCTTCGATTCCGCTTTCTTCTCGCTCCCTTTTCTCTCTCTCTCTCTCTCGCTCTGTGCGAATTCCTTTTTCTCTCTTTGTACGCGAAAGCGACCGCAGATCCTAATGCAGTTACTGAAATTTCGATGTTCTGGGAAGATTTTATGGCGATCGGGTTGATTCTTCCCGGTTTGATCAGAATCTGAGTTCTTGCTAAAGGTACATTATCGACCGATTGATATTCTGATTTTGGATTTTCCAGAAAACCTAGCTTCGGATTCACTTCTGGGATTTCATTTTCCTAACCTAATGATTTTGATTCATCGCTACGGTGAACTGCTGGATTCGTTAATGATATTTGACGGTCATTGTGTTTGTCTCCTGAAAAATTCGTGTGGATTCTGAACGAGGCAGTGAAAGTGTGGATTTGAGGTGGGTTTATGTAGATTTACGCCTGTTTTAGCTAGTGATAGAGTTTGGGATTTGGGTATATTGCTGATACTAGTATTTGTTGAAAGATCAAGTATATCTCTTTCGTATTTGTTCTCCGAAAAAAAAGTTCTGCCAAAAATTTGTCTTTGAGCTGCGCCCAGGTTGATCATTCGTGAATTGTTCTGATTTAAATTATGCAGGCCGCCTTATTGCTTGCTTGGATTCTGTTGTTTTTTTTTTTCCGTTTTTTTAACGCATTAATACGGTTGCTCCTGATGAAGTTTAAGTTTGAGCAGAAATACTTGTTAACTGTTAAGGTTTTTTGCTCTGTGTTTCTCCTTGTTGATCGAAATTATAGTTTGGTCTGCAAGTACTGTTGGATAGATTGGCTTTCAAGGTAATATGCTAAAATGTGCTCACTTGTTTCTGGATGCAACTAAGAGGCAGATGGCAAAAGAATAATGGAATTTTATCGGTCTGGTCTGTAGGATTGTTCAGTGACACAGGGTTAACATTTGTGGTTATTGTCTTGGTGCAGATAGAATCAGGTATTTCAATGTAATCTTGAAGTTCAATGTCGGGTTTCAAGAAATATTTAAAAGAGAGTAATCTGTTGTTTATCTGAAAGAGAATTTTTAGCAGTGTGCAGCTTATTGAATGTATTAGCTTTGTTTGATTTCATATGGGGCAAATCTTTATACTTGGGACCTGTGATGGGACCTGGTAGCATGATATACCTAAGTACATAACAAATTTTTTTAAATGTTTACGCAGCATTCTTATCGCTTACAGTTATTCAAAATTTCAAATATGTGGAAGTTCAAACCATTTGCTCAAAAAGAACCCGCGGGGCTAGAAGGCCGATATCTCGATGTTGGAAATCTTAAAATTCAAGTCAGGAACATCATTGCAGAAGGAGGTTTCTCCAGTGTCTACTTGGCTCAGGATGCAACACATGCATCAAAGCAGTATGCTTTGAAGCACATTATATGCAATGACGGAGAGTCACTAGAACTTGTGATGAAAGAGATCTCGGTAATGAAATCTCTGAAGGGACATCCAAATGTTGTCACGCTCTATTCACATGGTATCTTGGACATGGGGAGAAAAAAAGAAGCCCTTCTAGTGATGGAATTTTGCGGGAAATCTCTCGTCAGTGTACTGGAGAGCAGAGGTTCTGATTACTTTGAAGAGAAACGGGTTCTTTCGATTTTCAGAGATGTGTGCAATGCTGTCTTTGCTATGCATTGTCAATCGCCGCCTATTGCTCACAGGTATACTCAGTTAATGTCTTTAACCATCCTAAGATTTGGAATATTTTTTCCTCGTGCCCATAGAAGAAAGAAAAGATGGAACAATCTGAACATGGAAAATGAGTAAACTGGGTTCTAGTTCATATCTATTTTTTTTTATCATACTAAAACATCCTGATTTATATTAGTCACTGCTCATCACAAGCCCTTCCTAACCACATTTCAGCAAGCAACTAATAGAAGTCATTAACTGTTTTGCAATTTTCAAGGGACTTGAAGGCTGAGAACCTTCTGCTAAGTTCAGAAGGACAGTGGAAGTTGTGTGACTTTGGGAGCATTTCAACTAATCACAAGAGATTTGAAAGGGCCGAAGAAATGGGCATCGAAGAAGACAATATTAGGAAATACACAACGCCGTCATATAGAGCCCCCGAGGTTGTCTGTATTATATGCTGTTAGACCCTTTTTAAGTTTAGAATCATTGGTGGTAAAAGGCATTTGATAAATATCTAACTCCTTTTATTGCATTAGATGTGGGATTTATTTATGAGAGAGCTCATAAGTGAGAAGGTCGACATATGGGTACGTATCATACAAAATACTTCATTTTCTTTTTCTTTTACAAACAAATTTATAATACTGAATTTCGATGACTAAATTCCAGGCTCTTGGCTGTCTCCTCTTCAGAATATGCTATTTCAAGAATGCATTTGATGGAGAATCGAAGCTACAGATATTAAATGGGAACTATCGTATACCAGACATGCCTAAGTACACTTCATATGTCACTGATTTGATCAAAGACATGCTTCAAGCTTCACCAGATGAACGACCAGATATCACACAGGCAAGCTCTTTGCTTCAGCGTCAACTCCTCTTGATGAATTTTCGTTAGCTTTAGATCTGTCACAGGAAATGATTCAGGCAGTGTCTTTAACATCCTTTCTTCCCATCTTCAGGTTTGGTTTCGTGTCAATGAACAGTTGCCTGCTAATTTGCAGAAGTCATTACCTGATAGACCACCTGAGATGCAATCTACTGAAGTTCATGCCGGTATTATATCTTGAATCGCATATTTCTAGTAGCATTTAGTACTAGATCTTCTGAAAATTTTCTTTTTGCGATTTTAGCCAATATCAGAATCTGTTCAACAATTTTAATGGCTTCTCAAAGAAAGAAAAAATAAATCTTTTTTCTTTTGATCCATGTGAATCTTTCAGGGTCATCCAACTTTGCAAATAAATCTTCTCCTGTACCTCTGAGAAGTCCACCTCCACCAACTTCTTCTTCTGGAGAAACGGCTTGTGGAGGCCAGCTCGGTGCATTCTGGTCCACTCAACATGCGAAGAACTCACTTTCCATGGACGGGAAAATCATTCCTAAATCTGATGAACTGAATAGGTACAGTAACACATTGAAAACTGAAAGAGTTCGTGTGGAGAGTCATCATTTACACAAAAACCCGAGCCCTGTGAGAGAAGCACGTGCTGCACAAAGGAATTCACACCCTTCCAATTTAATCCCTGCAACCGACAGGCCGAAAGTGTCAAAAGATGATGCTTTCAACACTTTTGTAGCAGAATTCGATACCAAGAAGCTTGATAATGGCACTGGTAATGGTAAATCTGCCAAGGATGAGACATTGGAAGCTGAGATCGAGAGGCTCAAAGAACAGTTGAAACAAGCTAACACAGAAAAGGCTGAGATGACTGCCAAGTTCGAAAAGCTTTCTTGTATATGCAAAACTCAGAGACAAGAGTTACATGAGCTAAAGCAAAGGCTTGCTGCTAAAACTTCAGCATCTCCTAGCCGAGACAGTCCACAAATTCAAATTTCATCGGGAGCTCGTTCAACTCTTCCGGTTAGTCTTTGTCCTTCCCTCATGTGATCAGCATTGTCGTTCTTTTGTTGCCTCTTCTTGTCCATAGTATCCACAGCCATTGAACTTATTTAGTAAAGAAATTTTTTGCCTCTTGTCCATATCCACAGGAAGACAGATCAGATTGGGCGAGTGGGAACTCGGCCCCGAAGGCATGGAAAGCTTTCAGCGATGAACCCAAACCCGGGTTGCAGACTGCATCAAAGGGCAACAACATTAGTAATAATCAGTCTGTTATAACCAGAAACAGTCAGCCAAGCAAGACAGCAAGCCAAGGTTTCGATCCATGGGGTTTCGAGACAGATTCGTTCAGAGCCGCCACCACACTGTCTTCTTCTGCCTCTGCAATGCAAAGACCTCTCGGCTCGGATAACAACGCCCCTCAACCTGCTGGATGGGCAGGCTTCTAACTTTCATGCCATTGAGTTCCAATATGGTATTCTCTAATGACATAAACTTCTTTTTTGCCTCTTTTACCTTTCTTGAAGTAAAAAGTAATTGGAGATATCAACACTAAACCATCAAAGGTCTTGTCTTCTGTAGATGATCCCCTCTTTTTGGTGCCTCTGAATATTGCATATATGGTTTTGCAGAATGTCAAAGATCTTGGTTCAAGGTTATCGACTGGACATATCTTAATCATAAACCTAGTCAAGATCTGGGTACTGGTGTCAGAACCGATGAATTGTGTCTAAAGCCTGAAACTTTGACAGTTCTGCAAATCAAACCCACCACGAGAAGCTACAGCATTTCCGTAAAGTACAAGAAAGAAAAGTCTCGGAATTTCAGACAAGAAGAAACACCCACAAGGCAGATTTCCGGAAGTCATATTATCTCTGAAACCCACGACTTAAGTTCGAAGGATTTCGATATAGACAAGGCAGAAGACATAACTATAAATTTAAAGACAATATTGATATTCAGTTAAATTTTGTTGGGTGTAAAAAAAAAATATATATTCTTGGGAAAAAATCCGCTAAATCTTTTTCTTTGAGAAGTAACGGCGCCTCGTGGAAATTTGAATCTTTGCTTCGTGCTTCGTATCAATACAACGGAAATTATTCATTTGCTCTGTTTTCATTCTCCCTCTACTGTAACAGGTTTTCCGGTGACTTTTCCGGCTAAATCTGAAACAGCCACTGCCGCACAAGAGCCCTAGCTCCGCCGCTTCAGCACCACCACCACCCATTTCAACCACCTCAAAACCTCTACACACCGCCTTTCCCGATGAGGCGGCCGAGTTCAGTCCCCCGTTCGCCTCACCAAGACCCATCGGCTCTTTTTACCCGTTTTCTAATTCCGGTCGGGGGTTTCCGACCCGACCAGGAAGACCCAGTTCCTCTTCCGTGCGGGTGATCCGGGTGGGCACCCTCTTCGTCAGGTTTTCGATCATCGCCAATCTTGGTCGAATCATTTGGACCCGATGATGCGGTTCATGAGAGCTGCGCACGCCCAGATGCACCAGTTTCCTCATATCGGGTCGGAGGATCCTGTTGGGTCGGCTCCCTTGAGGCGAATTCCTCACTTCTTGCAGCCCATGGTGAGGTCTCTTCCATTATTCTCCAGAATTTCTTTTTTTGTTTTGGTCTTTTAAGGTTTGACGATGTAATTCCGTTCTTCTTCTAGTTACTTGTGTTCGTGCAACTCCTAGATGATATAAATTTGGTTTTAGGTTGCTCGAAATCGAAGAGATAGTCATTTTTGCTCGACATGTTTAATCTGTTGATGCTTAGGTTCTTGTTGAGTAGGGGAAGTGTTTATGGAAGCAATGTTCGAGGTATGATATTGCTAGATCATGGTTACATATGCACCTATATGCCTTTGCACTCCGGGTGAAGAATCAATCATCTTTGTTAATGTTGAATCCATTTTTTTCCGTACTTCTCATCAGGAAAGTTGATGTACTTCATGGATCCCTTGTTTCATTTAACCTCAAATTGTCACAAAAGCCTAAGCCTTTAATCAAACTTTTGAATGACTGTAGTTTTCTATCTTGTGTGATCCCTTCCCATTTGATTCTTTGTTAATTTGGCAGACTCGGGTTTGTACGGCGATTGAGATGGTCGTTTGCCACCAAGTTAATAAGATTACCCTTCTAAGATGGTCATTTGCCGCTTTTGCCAATTATCTTCCTGGAATTGTTTTGAAGGGAATATGTCTAGGCTTGTGGCTTTTCATGCGAAAGTCATGTTGTTAGTAATGCTAGAAATTTGTATTATTGTGGTCTCATCAGCTGGATGCTCCTTGGTTTGCTCATCTTTATTCTGGTTCCTATATGTGTGATTCCCGAGGCAAATAGTTATATTCAGTCCTTGGTTCTCTTTTTCTTAAATGAGGAAAGGGTTGCAACATATTTAGATTGAAATGAGTGCTTATACTGTTTTGTGATTGTATGCAATTCAGCACAAAACCTTTTGTTGAAAACTTTTCAAAGTCTGCTTCTTGCTCTTATTTCCCATTGCATCTTCTTTGTTTTGTGAATCTTTTATGATTAGGTTTCCCCGCCTCCATCTTCAATTCTTGACAATAGTGGCCATAAATATGCAAGGTAAAATCTTTGAATCTCCCTGATAATTGTTGGCTGTGGTCTTCTTTCTTATTGAGCATACCGAATTGCCTTTAGAAAATTAGTGATCTTGCTGTCTCTTTCCATGTTGTTAGATGCCGGGATGAAGCTTTTGTGCTTGTTAGAGGCAGAAAGGTAAGTGTTTCCGTTATCTTTTGGTTTTGTTTTAACAACTCGAATTGCTTACGCACTAGGAAACGAGATTGGTAATGTAGATTGTAATAACTTCTCTTTTGTTTTTACAGGTTAGGATAACAGATGGGGCTTCTCTATACTCGGTTTGTCGGTCGTGGTTGAGAAATGGAGTTAACGAAGGAATCCAGGTTTGCATCAATTATATGCTTTGAAATATGATGATGTAGAAAGTTGGTTTCACAAATGTCTCTTATGCTTAACATAAGGATTACTGGATTAAATACTTTTGTAATCTTCTGTCTCTTAAATCAACGGAAACATGAAAGTTTTCGTATTTTACGTGGTCTCTCTCTACCAAAATCCACACCCCTAAATCAAAATTGCACCTTTTGGTTTTCGACGAATTTGGCTGCAGCAAAGCAGTGATACATTTCAGCCTTTGCCAAAGCTATTACCTGTGGTTATGGTGGAGACAAGCCTGCCAAAGGATCCAAATGAAGAACCAAACGAGGAAGATGAGAAGGTTCTCTTTCTCTCTGCCTGGACCAAGAATCACTTTGAGATGCTCGTCTGATTTCTTTTCAAAATGTTATTGATGGAAACTGGTGCAAGTTTAAGCTGGTAAAGCAGTTTTGCTCACTTCTGATGTTTGAGTTATTTACTCTTTCC